AGAAAAAACTTTTTTTCTTTTTTTTTCTTTTCCTTTCATTCTTTTTTTTTTTTTTTTTTTTCCCTTGGGCAGTCAAGGCACAAATGAACATATGCAATGTAGAAGCAGGAGCGGTCTGGATGGGAATGACAGTCTAACCTTCTCCACCGCAATATCCTGGAAGATAGGCGGCTCATTACAGTTCACAGTGGTATGGCAATTACCCCGAAGTCCCTAGGAGAAGCTGGTGTTACCTAAACGAGAAAAACAATGATGGTTACTGCTGCGCATATCTAACCACATCTTGGTTGATCATGCGATCCAGTCCATGAAAGTAGAAGAGTTGGACGAGGGAATAACCTGCTTGGAGTGGTTTTGCTTCTTCTTTGGTCTTCATGTGCTGTTTGACTGCCAGAGCCACATGGTGGACCAGCAACTGGAAGAATGCATCTCGATGTTTCTGCGTGCTAGTTTCAGACGGATAGTTGTAAAGGGGAGAATTGATGAGAAGGTCGCCATTTGACCAATTTAACTATAGATATATTGGAGGCACCTCGAAAAGGAACTGTGAGGACCTTATATCATAAGAAAACCTCAGGTATGTTTATCTCTATGCACAGGACTGATGTGATGAAAAGTAAATTAGGCTCGTCTTGAGAAACAGGACTATCTGATTGATAGAGATCCCAGTAAGTTTCCACACATGACAGCTGCTACCCTACCTCACGAAGGAGTTCGATGAACGTTCCATTACTGTGAATGGGCACATTCCATACCAGAGTACTCAACCGTGCGCCCCTTTTGATACGGTCTAGGTTACAGATGGCCTAATACAATGACACAACTTCGTGAATGAGGTCGGTTGTGAAGAACCCGAAAAATCTGGGTAGGTCAAACCTGTCTCGACCGAATTAGACGGCATTATGCATCTCAGGACGGTCCTTGTGACTATTGTCGACACAATTGGTAAAGAGCCTGGTTGCAACAGTGCCGGCACTAGCAACTAGAGGTGTATACCCCTCGAACAACAGCAGGAAGCACCCAGGCTGAGATCAAGACAAATGGGGTGAGGTAGTTGCTGTATATGGCATTGGTATAGCGTCGTGGGTCACCTCGCCGATACCAGTCTGGTATCCAGGGCAGCAATACGTGTGATATATGTATATATGGTTATATAGAGCTGTTTCGTACGTGTTCATGTCTTGCCGAGTTGGCAGGGAATCAGTCCAACGCAGCGTGGCTATTGTCCCATTAACGAAGTCGCTCCGAGGTTTGCACTCTTCTATATTTCTTGGTAGCAAGGGTAATATATCTGCGAATCCACGCTAGTCGCTGGTCGCGCTGTTTCTGCTATAGTCATAGAATGAATTCACGGATGAGTCAAACTAGCCGGGGGTGACTCAAAAGCGTCAGTATTGATAAAAAGGCATGTCACTCGGATATATCGATATTCTGTCGCCCCTTCGGTTCTTCTACGACTTTATTGAGTATTTGCCTGTAGTTCTGAGTGCGTATGCCGAGGAAGAAATGCAGCATCTGAGCCTGGGCTTGGTAGAGAGTCCAGACTAAAGAAGTAATAAGCGTTGCTCTCCTTTCTGCTCTCTCCTTAAACATCCGTACCTATTAGAGGCTGCTCTGAATCTGTCGGCCTCGTTTATCTCCGCTGCATCCGGGCTAATTGGTATTCAGTTGGAGTTTCATACAAGTTGGTATCTGGGGGCATTGTACGCTAGGTAGAACGAGCTCATAATTAACGAGCAGGCTAAGCCTTCGAGCACGACAAGAGACACTCTTGAGTGAAATAATACTTCGGGCTTCCACAAAAGCTGTGCCTGATTATTCCATATATTCACATCTGCCAGTTCTTCTGTCATAGCGAAAGATGCCAAACATGGCTCCATGTCCGTATATGACTCTTGGCCGGATCGTATTGAACCATGCTGTATATAATGACCCTGCTGACAGGGGGATATATTGCCTCTTCGCACGAACGGGGAGCTGATGTCGGCCCCTCATTTTATGTTCTATGTCCTTGGTAAGAATGAGAATCGGTCAGCGGCGGGAATAGGTCAAATAGGATACTATATATGTTCTCGCCACACATAGCTATGGGCATATTCCAACACAGAAATGACTTACTCGCACTGAGAATGTGCCTTTTCAAATTCGTTTCAGGTTGATGCAGAGAAGGTCATATATTAATCAAGTTGAACCTAATGAGGTATATCTCTGATAAATTATAGTGGTGTTGCGTTAATATCGCATATTCTCGAATCATTGACATAAACCAGATAGAAAATACTATCAAGGTACCAGATCAAGGACGTTGTGCAGGGGGAGACACGGTCAGATGATATCGCAGACGGAAACACAGTATTTCAGACATGTGTAAACAGTACGGTAAATGCTAGCAAGGCGAGAGAGATGCCTCGAGCAGCCCATCACCTGACTACTCTGTAAATTGACATTGCTAGGACGCTGCTGCACATACTCGGCACGTTCTGACCGGATTCATGGAATGGAAAGTACAGCAATCTTTGATATGTTGGACCATTGTTATTTCGTGCACATGCACTTGGTAGCCCATTTGGGGCTCGCGGATGAAAGCATAGCAGGGACTGCTTGTGCGGAGGAGTAAGGCATATGCAAGCAATAAAAGGGGAGTGCAATTCAATACCAGTTATGTATTTTCAATAATTAGTATAGTTCCATACTTGTCCACACCGTAACCTTACTGTATATTCCGCCTTTCAGGGAAGAACGTCAAGTATCTTCTGCGAACAACACTTGCCTGGTATTTCAGAAACAGGCTCGTGTGACTTCTGAGATTAGTCTCTTCGATTTGGACCATGGATAATGACATGCGAAGGGGTTCTAATCTCACAGGTACAATATATAAACGTATGATAATGAAGAGTCTACTAGTACGATGTCTGTATATATCATCTTATGCAAACCCTAATATACCCTCATCTCCATCAGAAGACAACAAGAACTTTCAAAAAATCAAACACTCCTTTCTCAAGGTAGTAGCCTGAGTAAGAGGCATGCTATCTCCAGCCTATGTACGATCCGGCAGTGAATCTCATGACATGGTCACCATGAAAACAGTGCTACATCCATAACAATATTACATATGAGACATTGTATATACCCCATCACTGGCCCGAGGCACTATGGATTCCTCTATAAATCCGAAACAAGACCGGGGCCGTAGCGAGATTTGACGCAGCTCCACTTTGTATCCTTTTGACGAACCCCTTTCGATAACGTATAGTGCTAACAGCCCTATAAATTAACTAGATATATAGGAGGAGGGCTGGGGAGGAGTCCACCCATATAGAGTATGGGTCGACGAGCAGGGATTGGCTACTTTAATTAGAGTCAGGTATAGCGAGAGGATATTATAGTTCATAATATAGACAAATTATACTATTATTACTTTGTAATCTTGTTTAGCGCCGAGACACATGTGTGGATTCGGGAAGAGAGCACAAAGAAGAGGGAAAGAAACGTAATAGGGTTCAACTCTCCCCTGAGGAATGTCTATGGAAAAAAAAGTCAAAAAACAAAAAACCAAGACAAAAACAAACGTATATGTCGAAGGGGATGCATGAACGGAGGTCTCTCCGTCTGAACCCTGAATTGAGTCTAGATGTGGTATGTACAGTGATGTCAAGCTTCAGCGGGAAGGAAATACTAGGACTGGTCCAAAAACCCTAATACTTTCTTTTTTTTAGAGTCAGTCGATCGCTCAGGTTGCCCCTTGCGGCAGGAAGCGACGTATCCAACGGATCTTCTAAGTCCGAAAACAGCGCTCAAGGGGGTGGTGGTGAAAAAAACAAATATATTAAAAAAAAAAAAATCCTTAGGCCCCATTCATCCCTGGACGAGAATGTAACTCTGCTCGGCAGAACAAGGCAACACACATGAAGGGAGTCCACCCCGTCGGCGGTTACGGAATCGAGTCCGATACGATTCTGGAAAGGGTTATATTGAAGAGAAAATAGGAATCATGAGCCACATTTTCCCCTGAGTGGATCATCCGGAGGACCCGAAGTTCTTTTCATCATTCGATTGCAGATTCTGGAAGTTTTCCTGTGTGTGAGGTCTGTATCTCACGGACTCTCTCACTCTACTGTAGTGAGGTATCCATGTCTCTCGAGTCTTGGGGCCGGGTCTCGGTTATGGCGGAAAAAAAGGGCGAGGGTCGAGAAAGACCCAATAAGACAGAGATATTACCTAACCGCTGGATTACAGAGTTATCTAAAAGAAGCAGGAACACCAGACCCGGCGTATGCTGACTGGTTCCATCGGATACTTTAATGCCTCCAAGCTGCGGTCTGGGCGGAGCCTCGCCTATGAGCCCCGATCCCATTGGGTTGCCGGCGCTCCACCTCGTTTTGGCGACGGTCGGACGTGATTCCACGTCCGACCTGGTTCAACTGGTCTGAGACTCCATTTGCTGAAATTGGGAAGAGGCGAGAAGGGAACATCTTGTTCTTTTTAGTACTTACTCGACATAGGTATTTCACCATAATTATTTGTTACATCCTTATAAACATGTTACCTCTGGAAAACTTCCATATCCGAACTCCGACAAAGGACCACTATCTATTCCCTCCCCCTAGATTACGAAAGGAAGCATTCCGACTGTCCGGAAATTCCGTCCAAGTTCATAGGGAATGCTGCGGAGGATCGCACGCGGGGAAAACTGCCAAGTTGCCAACCTTACTGGTGTTAAGCATATCATGTCGGCCTTTTTCCGGCGTCCGTTGGCGATGACACTGCCTAGAAGTGCCGGTGGACTCGTATTCCCGTCGTATCGTACGTATCATGGCTAATCCTCGGATGTGCTGAGTCATATTTTATTCTTTACTTGGCTTGTACATTTTCCTTGAGGCCACTTGTACACTTCTGATGTACAAAATTTCTTGGGTAAAACGAATTTTATGAAAACTTACTTCTGGTTCCATTTGGTTTTTCTCTTTATTAATGAATCATTCAATCAAATGTTTCCCCATCGCTGTGAATTACCTAATCGGTCCGTCCGATCCGTGGAAAGGCCTATCAGACTCCCGTATTTTCCGGTCTTTAATAATATTGGAGGCAGTCACAATCAAATATAGTACCAGCTAAGCATCAAATACGAAGCGAGCTTCCCCATCTTCATTTTTATTAATAAAAAAGTAAAACAAGCCACATGATATCAGTCATTCCCATGTAAGTATGCACATTATGACCATGTACATATACACCCAGGTGTACATTCAATTTTTCAACCTTCACATTCATTTCTCCCCCATCCGGGTGTACATACTTACCTATGTACGGACATAACATACTTACATACATACAGTACATATACATTGGATGCATGCAAGCATGGATACAGCGGATCCCCTCGGAAATACAGGAGGCAAGACAACGGAGGTAAACTAGTTGGATTAGTCCTTCAGCCACACTAGGCTAAGCCTTGGCTATCTGAATGTTGGGGATCCAGTCAGAAACTCTCGTATTTTTTTTTTCTTTTTTTTTTTTTTTCCCCCTCTCATTCCTCTTCTTCGTTTAGACGGCGGGGATAGGCTTGGCTCTGCAGCGCTTTGACGCTTGGTATTCGGGCCAGGATAGGGATCCTCGGGTCTTATTTTCGACTTTTAATTATGGATGGGGGGTGGCACTGTACCTCACTGGAGGGTTTTAAGGTAGGTTGTTCTTTGTTAGCGGGGACTAGTTATCTAGTTATTGAGACTATATGGACTAAGAGCGTGGCAACGGTGGGTGCCGAGAGCTGGGAACTACAATGGTCTCTTAGTAGTCTTTACTGACGGCGTACAGAGGACTATGTATTTCACACTTTTTGAAAGAAAAAGAAAATAATGCCAATAAAAAAGTACATTGAGTAAAATAAAATAGATTAAAAATTCAGTTGAGGTGGGATAAACGAAACCATCTTCTTCCGTACCTTAACCTAATTCAACAGACTATCTGTGATCGATCATCATGCAAATGGGAATGGGGGGATGATCCTCTCAAAGTTATCTATGTCGGGTAGTTGATCTACAACCCCCCCGGAAGTAACCAGTCACCGTGACAGGAAGAGGGATCCCATGCATTCCTGATTTCAAGTTTATTGGGGAGGGTGTTACTCTGTTTAGATTACACACCACACAACCCTCCCCGGGGCAATTGTGGAAATCCCCCCTCCCCCTCCATGTTTTAAGCGAATAAGGAATTGATTTGTGAAAGAAAGAAAGAAAGAAAGAAAGAAAGAAAGAAAGAAAGAAAGAAAGAAAGAAAGAAAGAAAGCAGAGTGGTTTAGGTAGAGGTCTATTTGACCTTACCTTAAATTGATTATGCTAGTGGAGATAAACCCGTGCAACGTTTCACACACAGGCTTGCTTGGCAACCTTGATTCCAATCAAGGGTTGCATTGCAGTGGCATGCATTAAATGCTATCTACAGGTCTCAGATGGGTGTGACTAATTCCTCGTGCGACTTGATAGGAAGCAAGGGGATCCTCAAGGGGGAAAAGTTGCGAGAGGGAAAGGGCACAATCAGGGGTGGACGAAGGTCTGTCCTGTACCTAAGTATACCATGTACGACTTGGTGGATGATGCTAAAATCGTGGATATACCTAGTTAGTGGTTTAGTCGTTGAGTAGTTGCGGTCAGTGTCATGAATAGTCTCGGCTTCATCGGCACTTGAGTCATGTGTTAAGTCCGATTGGTCCCGTCACAATGCACAATGCCATCCAGACATGCCTCCTACCTCATCCTCTCAGGTATACGTGAAGTGGGTGTCTGGAAAGGAGATAGTAGTAATAACTCCTATATCAACATTAATCACAACACTATAGCTTAGTGTAGAGCTAAGTTACATTCGAGGGGGACAAAGCTTGGTTGTCTTTGTTGGCTGAGAATGTGGGACAAACGTGCAGGGATGCTCGCTCGACTTAGGCTAAATCAACGGAATGAACCAGGTGGAATCCCGGATGACTGTCGTCTCCCTACCATGACTATGTACTAGGTTTATCTTGCTGGAAAGGTGTAAGTAGCACCGAAGTATCGAAGCCTTTGTGCTCTGTACCACCGCCGGCGACGAGGAAGTGTGATATCAGTCCGTGTTGGTACCGGATGTACCTTGCTTGGACCGTCACTGTGTGTTGCCATTACTTTCTCTCTGCGGACAGGTATCGACAGGCATTCTGCAGGTGATATGTAATCTCCGCCGCCATACCCGCCAGATGAACTGATAAATAAGAGTTTGTTGGTGGCTCTTACAAAAGCGACCGTGCAACGCTGCTGTGGCACGTCCACCATTACTGATTAGGGCTACACAATCTGCTGCAAAATCCAATGCTTGCCTGTCCTGCAATGATCAACATCATCATTATCCGTGCAGATGTGATTTAGGTGACCCCTCCTTCTCACCTAGCCATATTACAAATTTTATGCTTGAATTAACTACCTGTTTTCATAGCCCAGCCATGTGAGACATCAGCTGCAAAGCGACACCTGTTCTCCTGACTCCAATCACCCTCCCCGATGCTGCTTGGCCTCAAGTAATCTCCTCGTCTCTAAGTGGACCGGCCAAGGAGCCAAGAGAAATTGGTTACCATTCAACTGACGTTGCTGGCGATACGCTTATCGTGAGCACTAGCGTCATTGTAACTTGCATACCAGTGACTAGGCAATATTATTATTCTTATTTTTTATTTTATTTTTTCTTCTTGGGGGCCTCGGTTTTGATGGTAGCCTGAGCGGCAGTGCCGGATGTTCAATGTTGAATGGGGCAACCAACCAATATCGGATCAATCAATCATATTCGTCACAGAACAGGAATAAGTTAGGGTAGGCTGTGTTGATACAAGCAGCCTCGGGTCATTCATGCATTGATTTTCATTCTAAAATCCTTTGGAAAAAAAAAAAAAAAAGCAACCCCAAAAAATCCTTCATAAGAAGGATGAAAAGAAAAGCCCAGTCATATACCTCACATCCCATTATATATGTACAAGAGCAAGCTGATGTACAGCACAAGCCCCCAATCCATACTATGTATAGTAAATAAGCAAGGCCAAAGCTCGATCCTTCGACTGCGCCCGCCAACTTTATCTGCGACCTCTATCAACGTGACTGGACGATAATTTCCGGGACTATAGTGTTCCCAGTCCACACCACAATAATAGAAATCCAAGAAGGAAAGTCTTATGAGAAAATTGTAGATATGGTTAAATGATGAGTAAAACGGCTGGGTCTTCCGGTCTGTGCCTTACGTGGCATTAGGTTGCATATGACTGCTCACCTTGCCTCGCTCGAATCATGGTCTAAAACACAAAAGAAAATAAGAAATGAAACCTCTATGCTTGTAATTGCTAAGGTGGCATTCAATGGTTTGTTTTTGTTGCCCTTGTTCCTTTTTCTGTTTCTATTAAAGTAAACCTCTCCTCTTCGGGGTTTGGATAAGATTCGTCAAGCTTCTGATAGTTTGATTATGATTAGGTGGTAGACTATGTATGTACGTACATCATCGTACAGATACAGAAGGACCTGTCGGAGGGGAGAGGAGGGGAAATGCATTAAATGAGCCGGCCACTAGTAGCCGTGGACAACGAACATACGGGTGGGCTGAGTTCTCAGCTAGGCAGGTGTCTAAACTCGATACTATATTGGAGTCCCATCGAGGAGTTACCCAAAGAGGCCACCATTACGGGCGGATAATTTATTTTAGGTTGATGTTCGCTCTGTGTACATAGCTAAGATCCTTGTTTTATGGCTAGTTTCATGCGGACAAATTACACGAGTTGGAGTTGAAGTCCGAACACCTTCCAGTTCTATCGTAGTTTGGTTGAGTTAGTGTGTACCTTTTGAGTTATAGATTACCTATCCTGTATAGTTGACTGATTTATTAACCCTATCCTATCAGATCTGTTGCGGTGGGGTTTATCAGCTTTCTTTCTTTCTTTCTTTCTTTTTCTTTTTCTTTTTTTTTCTTATTCTTTCTCAAGGAAGGCACAGGCAACACTTCACGATATCATATAAGTACAAAGAGTCTCAATTTGATAAAACTCTCCAAATCCCGTGGCTTGGGCAATTACGAATACGAATCTAATCGCCACGGTGGCTGTTGTCATCTGCCGGGTTCCGGTCCCGAAATGAGAAAAAGCACAGCATCTTTAAACCATATATTAGATTAAAGTGTGTCGCATCGAAGGGCGACGACCATTTGGGTATTTGTTCGTTTTTTTTTAATTTGGTCATATAATTTTATTTTAATTTTTTTTTTTTCGCTGTTCCAAATTAGAGTCCGCCGTGGACGGCAAAACGGCAAAGCCAATGTCGTCAGCCTTGGCCATTGAAGGGTCACTTTCGGGCTGAACCGCTGCACAACCCCGGGGAGAGTTTAACCCTATTTTGCATAACTGCATAATTTGACTGACTGGGAGTCGGTGATTGGCTAGGTGGGATAATACATAAGAGTAGCATAATCAAACCCAAGGATAGTAGATTAAAAATTGAAACCCAAAGGCCACCTCCATTTGGAACAAGTGGAACCCCGAGGGGGCCTTTTTTCTAAGCGAGCTTAAGGTTCCTCGTGTTGGATTAAGCTTAAGCTTCAGAAAGTCGCGCACTAATCACTTTTTGGATGGGATCAAGCGATCAGAGCGCCACTGGTATCTTTCTAGTGTAATACCGTCTTATGATGAGTTATTGATTGTTATGCGAATGTTACTTGCTTTGGACAACTTTTATTGGCCCTTGGTTTATCTCTCAGGACTTAAGGAGGTGGGTTTATTCGGAGGAGATTTTACATTTTTCCTTTTCCTTTCCTTTTCTTTTCTTTTTTTTTTTTACCCTTTTTGATTATGTTTATTAGGTGACCGTTTCCCATTCCCTCTTTTTTGTTTTCATTGAGCGCACCTGTAAAGGTAATTTTTTTTTTCCCTTTCTTGCGTTTCAAGGCAAAAGCCGAAACTTGGAGCCAAGAAATACAAAGACTTTGCCAAGCTCTTGTCCTTCTTGTCTTTAATCAGAGGCTAGATCAATGGAGAATATTGATCCCGTGCAGCATTCCTAAACTGGAATGAACATCTGGTATGTAGAATTAACCGTAAGCACTATTTCGGAAAATCCATCTTGGGGGCGCTTCTTTACTTGGAAGAGAAATAAGTTGGAAGGATAAATAAATAAATACATGACGACAGCGCCTCCGACGAGAGAAAAGATAAATAATATTAAATAAATTCGGAAAAAAATAGAAAATGAAAAAGGATTCAAGTGTAACCGTAATAAAGCCTTCCAATTATTAGATCCAGTATTACACTATTATACACATACCCTTGTCCCATCACCAAATATTACTACTATCAAGCTTAGTTTAGAATGACTCCACAACCCAACTTTCTTTCTTTTTTTGGTTTTGATCACCCTTCCACATTGTACTGGGATCATCCTCTCTCGAACTGAGGAACAGGGAGAGGATGGATTAAGGTCAGGGTTTCCATTTGGCCCTATCAGCTGAGATGAAAAGACCAGAGAAAAATAAACAAAGTTCATCAAGTAATAGTATTATGAATCGATGATTAAATTATAAGATGTCGGGTAGTAACAGTCATGAATGATTCAGTCGTTCCCACCAGACGAGGTCATGTCCGCCTCTCCTTCCCCCACGAACCATGGAAGAGCGACTATGGAAAACATAAAGGTTAAAATCAAGGTTGCCATTTATTCAGAATTTACTTTTTGAATTTTTGCCCTCTACCACGCCCAGGCTTCCTGTCTGAAGGGCATCAGATGAATTGATTTGCCGCGGTCCTTTGTGCTTTACCCACACTTTGTCTTCTGATGGCTTCTCGGCATGACCAACGCCTAGAGGTCCAAGCCATCCCCATCGGTCATTCAAAGGTTTTGCTTGGTTCTGGATTTGATTACTGACTGTCATGGACCCATGAGACAAGACAAGAAGGAAGGAAGGAAGGAAGAAGAATCGAGAAAATTAAAATTAAATTCCAAAGTTAATAATGGGGGTTCAGAATACAATATAATACATAAGAAAGAAGTAATACATTTACTCTTTCTGATGGGGAAATAGACTAAAATAAAACATTCCCCCAAAAATGCATTAATAAATAAAAAAAAATACGAAAAAAGGAAAACCAATAATAAAAAAAAGCCCCCCATTAAAAAATATTAAAACAACCCTGTGGGGTCCAGAGTTGCAAAGGCTCCACTCTATCTCTGATACTCATGCTTTAATGCCTCCCTTTGTCTTCGTTTCGTTTTCTTTTACATACTTTTTACTACCTCACTGCTACGGTTATTCTACTACCTACCTATTCAAATCTATTTGGAACTTCTTCTTCCTTTCTTTCCCTTCCTCCCCAATCTTCCAATCCACCAACTACCGCCCTCCCATTGTTCAGCTTCTCTTTTACCGAACCCGTGTCTTTTGTCGCTTTTCTAACACACGACGATTCAGGTGAGTAATTTATGGATCTCTTATTTATTTTCTTTTTTTTCTTCGTTTCCTCTCTGTCCCGTCCCTGTCATGTTCCAAAATGTATCCTTGTCTCATAATCTTAATGACTCGGTCCGCTTGCCTGCATTCTTCCTTTATTCTCCTATCAACCCTCCCCACTCCCCTACTTCTCCTTCCTTGCTGCCTTTGACTTTTTTTTTCTACATTCCATCCCCCTCCCCCCCTCTTCCCTTGAATCCTTTACTCCGAAATCGCGAGTGATCAGGACCTCCCGTGGGCACAGATGAAATACTAATATCAATCCTCCCCAAGATTCCCAATATCCTTCACCGGCGGTGGACTGCTCACAGGATCGGACGTGACTTTCCCTCCCGTGAGCTGGTCCCCATTTCCGCTTTAGGGAATTATACTCGTGGATCGCCCCCCCCAATTCTCTGACAGGAGAAACGTCACTAAATAAAGAAACAAGACGGGCTCAAAGGAGGTATTGCTCCCCAGTAGCCAGCAGCTCCATTCTATCAACATTCCGTACCTCAGTAAACAGCCTACCCTGGCGTTAAAGCCTACGACCATCACGGGGTCCTACACAGATCACCGAAGGTGGATGGAGACGTATCACGGCCACGTCCGCACGCCGGCGGACGCTATCATCCTCTTCGAAGCATGTCGCATTGGCCTCCTGCCCCGCGTACAGAGACGATTGTCCGAGAAAGAACGCCAGTTAATACGCTCCGGATCGGTCTTCGTGTGGGATGAGCGGGAAGCGGGGATGCGCAGATGGACGGATGGGAAGTCCTGGAGCGCTAGTCGCGTGTCGGGCAGCTTTTTGACATATCGTGAAATGGAGGGCAAGCGAGGGGGAACAGGCGTGGCGCAATCCACCATGTCGCGAGCGGGCAAAACTCCCGAGAGTCGAGGGAGTGACGATGACCGGGGGGACGGCGCAGATGAGGGTCCAGATGGCTACAGATATAAGCCGGACGGTCTGATGAAGCAGTCTTTCAGCATCACTACCTCTACTGGACAACATCTCCATCTCATCAGCTACTACTCTAGGTCACATCCCTCCGCAGCCAACCTTCAACAACCATCGACGGATCCCGCCCTTCGTCATGTTCGTCCGCAGAAAGGTCTGTACCCAGAATCTACTGTCAATGATCAACAAAATCTGCCAGTCGTGACACGCGGGCCAATGGCTGGAGCTACCTACTCGGTACCACCCCATCCAATGGGTGCATATGCCCGCTCGGGAGCCACGCACCCTCAGTCATACACTCCGTCATACGCATGGCCCCCGACCCCATTAGCTACCCCGCCAACCGTCCCGGTCCATTATGCTTCGTCGTACCTCCCGCCGGTATCGGGGGCGAACGGTCATGTGCCGCCATATGCTCACCATCAACCACACGCCTTGCCTCCCCCGCCCCCTCCACAACCGTTGGGAACACCTTATGAGCGACCGGTGCATCCAGTTGAGGCATTGGCCCCAACAATACAAGCTCCGAGCGTGCCGCATCCGTCTCTGCCGGTCATTGCAAATGGCCGGTCACCGCGGCTGGTCGCAGATCCCCACGAGGTTCATCAGCGCAGTCCCCAAGAATATGGACCAATGGACCTTCGGAGGGCGTCTCCACGCACACAACCACCGTCAATCCCTCCGGCTTCCGGGTTGGTTGCGCGAAGCCCACGCTTGTTGACCCAGGCTCCTTCAAGTGCGGTACACATCTCTCCTCCAGCCACTACCATTAAACCACCAGAACCCAGCAGCTCTAGCACCACTGTGCCTAGCATTGGAGCTCTGATGAACGGCACGCCGGCTAGTGGCTCGTTGCCGTCGATCGCCGCGCCGTCAACGGGACGAGCCGAAGGACCGCGCGATATCCCCAGCGAGAAGATTGGGTTCGGAGGAGAGGATATGCGGGCCCTCCGGCAATTAGACCGGGTGTTCACTGCGTGAACGTGACCGGGGATTCCTTACATCTTCCTATCTTCCGATACTCCACACCCTGCGCCTTGCACATTACTCCATCATTCCTTAGCACCTGCTTTTTTTTTTCTTTTTTTTTTGTTAGCTCATTGTATGAGATGTATCCGTTCGCTGTTATCTAAAAGAGATATGGAACGGTCATGACGATCTTGTTATTTATCGTGGTTTTGGGCAGGGACCGGCGTTGTTAAAGAGGGTGCATCACATAAAGCATGGGTGGGGTCTTTTGCTTTTTGTCTTCCATTATGGCTTGTCTATTTCAGATTCCCGAGGCCACTGTTTTCATGGCATTTGTTGATATACGCTTTGGGACTAGCCTTGGCTGTGGTTAGGATGACTCGATATACCAATTGATCATGTTGATGATTGATTATTTCGGTTGAGCTTATGTCAAACGTGTGTAAAAGTCTCCCTTGTACCATGTACATAACTACCCATGGGATACATGCAAAGAAAAATCCGAGCATGCCACCAGTAAATCAACACTATACATCCGTTACATTTGGTACAATTGGTATTAGAACTAAATCTAAAAATAACTCAACGTAACACTCCCAACAACTCCCCTGAAAACCCATTGACTAATTACCCAACCCCGTTCCCAGAAAGCAATTAAAACCCCTATAATAACACGCCCCATTATACCTGCATACAATGCAAACCCCCCTCTCATACTTCCTTGCCCCTGGGGTCGGGCTGCGGAGATGCATCCCGCTCCGGTTGCACAACATACCCAGCCTGATCCAGCGGCGACTCCGAACCATCATCCCCAATACTCGTTGCCTGCCGCGTCATAACGCAGGGTTCCTCCTTGTTCAGCTCTGAGATCTCCACGACTCTATCCCCGCTCTGCTCTTGCGGTTTGATGATCCCCATCTCGACATACCGGGCCATATCCTCCCTGTCCCGGTCGATCGGGGATCCCCGACCTGTAATCTCCCTCGCAAACGACCGCAGTCGCTGCTTCTTCCACCACGGTGGATTCCTCTGTCCGATACCCACGTCGCTGGCTAATGCGGATTCTAGTTCCCCGCGCTGCGCGATAAGTGCCTTGTCTTCGTTTAGCTCGCAGTAGCCGCAAATATTGAAAATGAGAATGATGAGTAGGGCGGGTGTATAGCCTAGGCCGTAGATCCAGCCGGACTGAACGTCGTATTTCAGCGGCGAGACGGTCCAATCGAAGGCCGAGGCGATGGCATAGCCGATTTTGATCCCCAGCATGGCGATGGCGAGGAGGAATTGGGAGGGTGCGGCGTTTAGGTAGAAGAGGAGTTGGCCGCCTGTGCTTGATGGACGGGGCTTGTACCGGTAAATGCTGTGTTCGAGGCCGTAGGTTATCACCAGCATGCCGGCGAGGGCTACGAACCCTGCTGCGCGCCAGCGAGTGTCTGTTGCCACTGGGCGGGCGTTGATGGTTTGCTGTTCTTCGCTGCGTTGGAGCTCGATGGCGGACCAGCTGCGGGGGACGGTGAGGATGAAGTTTAGAAGGGCGAGGATGTAGAAGAGGATGGGGAGGAGGGTTTCCTGCCATTTCCGTGTGCTGGTTTTGGTGAAGGCGTAGGGGTCGCGGTCGTGAATTTGGCGGACCTGCCAGCTTGCCCTGCGTTTTTTTTTTGATCTTTGTTAGTTGGTTGATTACTTGGGCTGGGTGTATTGAAGGGGGGTTTTACCAGTGTCGGACGGCTTCCCAGACTGCGGCCATCAGACCTGGTGTTAAGAGGGTGTAGAATACGCTTTGGAGGATCAAAGGTGCGCTTTGGAGATAGTTTCTATCGACGTCGATGCTCATGAAGCAGCTGATGGCGCCGCAGACGGCGACGAATATGAGCCAGCACCATTTTAGTCGTCGGCTCACGATGTTCCAGCGGCGATCGTGCGGTAGGTAGCTCCGGCCGTGCTTGCGGAGGTTGATGAGACTAAGGAAGATGGTGATGACGAACATCAGGGCATATGCTAGACCGAGGGACGCATGCTGGCTGATATCATTGATGGGCGCGTAGCACGATGTTCCGTTGATGAATGTGCCGTTCTCAGCGAACATATGAGGCCTGAATCGCTGGAAGGCCAGGTAGCAGTTCGTGCCATTGGATAGTGTCCCGTTGGTGTAGAGCCTGTAGTTGTAGGTGTCTAGCGCGGTTCGATTGAAGTGAACTTCGTTGATGATCACATCGGTACCGTTGTCACCTGGTTGATAGGGGGCTAGTCCCCTTATGTACAACAGCGTCATAATGAATGAGTTGTACCTTTACAGCCCGTCAGTCGCTACAATTTCCTTTGCTCAATACCGCATTCTCGTCGCGGGCACCATTGGCAGCAATTGCGCCTTGACAAGGATAGGACGCATAGTGACAAGTTTCGAGCAGCCTCATTGCAACCGCGGAAGACCCGGAGTCGGATAGAGGCTATGACGAGCGATGAGGTCGCATTCAAGGCACAATCTATGATGCGCAGAGTGGCTCTGCGTTCCAAGGGGGAGACCTAATCGGACCCGCGGTTCAGGATCATATAACTTGACTCATAACGTACCACAGGCCAGCCACGAGGAACCATAAATAAGCTCTGAAAGGAAACCATGTCTAACTTCTGTTTAGACATTTCTTGCCTTGTTGGGAAGTGATGAAGTCCATTCATGATCTACATGTGACGAGGAGAGTCTTATCGATAAGATCAACGATAAGACGAAATTCTCCTTATCACGATGCTTACAAAATACTGGTAGAGTACTATCCCGATCGGGAATAAATCAACACCACAGGTCACAGGGAATCCCCATTCTCTCCTCATGCACCACGGAGAAACTAGAGAATGCAACAGAAACACTCTCTCGAGAAACACCTACCCCTGTCGAAATGATATCAGATGATAGGCCGCCGACATATGAGACATCATATGGCCCCGGGCACACATCCCTTCTCCACCCCGCGCGAGGGAGCTGCACTTTACAACCCCAGCATGCATATCATTGCGACGTGTGAGAAGAGGACAAGCTGAGGATCGTCGATTTGCAGGAGCACAGCCGGCTCAAAATGAGGCATTTACTGGTATGCGGGTGATTGTCTGTCAACTGCCAGGCCCAGGGTCAGCCACTTTGTTTTTCTCTTTTTTTATCTGGGCTACGGAGGTAAATGCACCCATTCCATACCCCAGACCAAGTTCATGCTCAGCATGATTCGGCCGTTTCACGATCCCACGCCGAATACGAACCTTAACTCAATTCAACTAGTGAGAATCATGATTGAAGAATGCATAGGTCACTAATTTTTTTTTCCTTTTTCTTACTCATTTTGTCCCTTGGCATTCGTCGCATCGCTCCTGTCTGTATGTGGCGTTGCCTCTGTTTGGAGTGGACAAGAGTTCTCTACCTATTTCTAGGGCGACGACTTGGATGGTATACAAAATACATGGAAACAGGGAATTGGTATCCTCATGCAAGGACAGACGTTCTCTTTTTATCCATTGGAGGAAACTTGTCACCTTGAAGAAATACGGGTTGAGTAACGCTGCTTCGTATATGACACTGGGCAGTGACACCTCTATTGCTGGCATGTGAATAGACTGTGCAGTCATGCGGATACCAATTGAGCCGTTCGAATAAACTACAGTAGCTGCGTGTAAGAATTGGGGAGAGGGACTCTACACTCTAAGTCACAACTTGGGGATTTCATTGTCTGTCAGCATCTATGTACATATGAAACTAAGACAGAAAGACCCTAGATATGACGTAGCTTAATCTATTCCCCGAGATATGAAATCTAGGGTCAAAATGTAATGCACGGATGGTTGATAGAGAACATGTCTGCTCCTCCCCCACCACACTTGAAGCTCAAGTAATCCATCTACAACTCTGAGACATTATACCTAAACATATCAAACTTAGGAAAAGCATAACGCCAATTGATACCTCGTTCTGGGATTTGACGATGACAAAATATCTCAAGCAGATAGCCTAGATGATAGAGCAATACGAAGCAAGTTAACCCTGAAGCATGCTTCTCCCCTTGCGACAAGACCCTACCTTTGAAAAAGCAAAACAGATAGACAATCAGACAAGTAGTAAACCTTCCACTGTTGACTAGGTATGTAAGCTATCCCCCTTGATCAGCACACGTCAGTATACTTGATTTGGTCCATAACATAATAACCTCGATGAAGACTCAATCCATAATCCGGACATTTTTCAGGCACAGTCCACAATCTGACCTATCCAGTCAGAGGCAAGATATTATCAAGTAATTACATATTTTATCCTGCTTTGCGGCATTTACCACCCAGGACAAGCGTCGTCATGGTATACAGGAGGCATACCACGAGAATTTTGGCCAGGATGTGGTATGGTCCCAAAGAACCAAGACAACGATGTACCGAGATCCTGTAGATTAACCAAGGCCATAAGATTGATCTACTATACACATACACGGAGTCGCCGGTTCGCACGCGAGAACCTTGCTCCAAGAAAGCATAGACCAAGTTATTCAAGTCCTTGGAGCCCTACCGCATCCTCATCACTTTCAAAACAATAGGCAATACATCCTGCAGCATATCCACACTATTACTAGTACCAACCTCTATCGTGTGCCAAAAACCCCTGGCTCAAACCCGGTTTATTTTCTCAAATCACTTCCCCCCCTGCCAAATGCCCTATGATGTCATATATATATACAAAGCTGACCGTACCATTTTAGTAATTGAAACCTGGCATAATGCTTCCAACCCCAAAATAATGGCCTTATTGTGGATCCACGAGAGATCCTCTCCCAAGTTGAACTGACTCCCACGACGGACACGCGACATCCATTCGCGGGCGTGATATGAAACAGGCAGATCGGAATATAAAAGCGATGATTGGCGATTAGGCTATGCCAGAATACGGGGGCGGCCACGAATCCTTAGGAAGTGAAAAAAAAAAAAAAGAAAAAGAATATGGGGATGCATAGTACTTTTACTAGAATACTTTTGGTGCCCAACAGCTTTTTGTCATTGTGCGTGTCTTGACACGCTTATTTGTGATGGACGGGGTTTTTAGGCACCTTTAGGTAGGATTCTATATCAGTGCGGTTTGTTCCAGACCGATTATTTATTTTTTTTTTAAATTTTTTCATTTTCTTTTAACTATGAGTCATGTTCTGGGTATGTGCGACGTACATTGGAGGGAAAAGATGTAGTTGACGATCAAATGCCAATTAACGAACGGGAAGTAAGAAAGATGTTCTTGACAGACATGATCGTCCAGTGAGAAGATCGTAATCGACTATTTTGGGTTCTGTGAGGTCGGAGTATTCTTCCAGATATCCAGTGAAATTGGTCAATGGCAATGAAAGGTGGGTCTAGGTCGTGGCCTAAATTCTTTTGGTCATTGATTATCGTCCGGGCTGGAGAGCAGAGCCCTGTGGACTTGGATCTATTTTGTGCTACTACCATTTTCGTTCTGTCCAAGTCGGAAGAAGCGAGAGAGAGAGAAGAGGATTACAGATGTGCTGGGGGACTCGATGGGCCTTTCTTTCCGTGTATTGAAGTTTAAATCAATCTTACCCCGCAGCCGCAAGAAACATTCGTCTGATCCATGGAAGAGGATATCTTATCCTTGCGGAGACTCTTTTCCCACGCTGTTCTACAATATCAGAGACAGTCTATAGCGAAGACAACGAGACAGCCTATACAGTATGAGCATAAAACATGTAGCTTGTTATTTCAATTATGCTTCGCATAAGGAATGTCGGCTCTGTCCGAAGCTACCCTGAGCTACTACGTATGTTTCTTACCTATTTCTATTCAGTTTAAGCCCCCCAGTGGAGTCCACAACCCAACCAACACTTGCTATGTATGTAGGATGTATGGAGTACATCCCACAAGCCCACGATTCACGCGTCTCCACCTCACCCAGAAACAGAAACCCCAACCATCTTTCCTCCCCCAAAGCCACCGCCAACCGCATCCACCGTCTTTCTGACCCAACCGGGATAGTTCCAAGCCTCACTTCCCATGCGGACGTGCGCAGAAAGAAAGCGACCGAACACTTTGGAAAGAAAACTAAATACATAGTAAATTATGAAAAAAAAAAAAAGGGATTTAAGGTCACTTAGACTTTTCCCCGTGAGTAAATCGCGTCATCGGGTCCGCTTTTGATAGGCTCGGCTTCGGCTCACTTGCCCCTGTGGTTTGTGACGGACACGAGGTCATGTGGTCTGATTCGTGTCCTCGGGCGGTTCGGTACGAGGCAGTACTCAGGAACAGTACATACCCATATTGCCTGAATAGTAAATGCTCTACTCTGTACGTACAAGAAGACGTATACTACCAAACAGCAAGGAAAGCTACAAGCATGAAGAGCCCACCAGGGTGTAGAAGGATGGGGAAAGACTACTACTCAGTCTAATACCACACAGCACTTCATCAGCCACTCACCAGCAATAAATCGCGATAGCAACCGAGTGCACGCATAAGGTGATATATATTAAGTATACTTCCTTCTTCGCGGAGGTCGATCCTCAGGTAGCCTCATCCTGAATCTTCCGTCGAAAATACGGGGTAAGTCAGGTAAGCCCCTGTCAACTCCGCATTTACGCAAGGGAGCACCGAATGACGAAGACCAACAGGAATGAAGTACGAGATGCGACAGAAAAAAAGCTTGAGGGGGAAGGTCGGATGTTGCTCATCTGCAATGAACAGACAGCAAAAGGGAACTTTATTTCCCAGCCACAAGGACATAGCTCCGCGGGATGGGAGACCGGGGTTTTGGTTGCCTGCGCATGAATCTCATGAACAAGGATAGGAAACGAGATCATACACCCCTCTTTTACGGGATTACCCTTCCGTTGGCTCCACTGGATTCGTGTGTTCCCCAAATCGTGGTGGATGTAGGACTGGGACTCGATCCTTTCGGGGGGCAAAAAATACTCGTAGACAAAAAGAAGCGAGTCATGTCCATCCAGATGGCGGTAGTGATCTTAATACTTCAACTAAGGTTCACTTCGTTGCCTTTAGTCTGGATTGGACTTCTACTGCATACAGTAGTTAGGTATGGAGTGCATAAAGACACATTCTTTTTTTCTTTTCTTTTCTTTTCCCTTTCCCTCTTCTCAGTGGGGCATATTGTTTCACTACAAATTTTTGATGCTTATTACATTGTCGCGGTCACCTGTGTCAGATTAAATATGTGCAGGTGAGCCGTTATTTCAAATGGTCTGCGGGAAGATCAAAGGAGGTAGTAGTGTATATAGAACCTATTGGTCTTCACGCCGTACCTTACCTACCTCAGAGTTCAATCCTTGTCCCATCTCAGAGCTTTAGGATAGTAACTATTCCTAATTATCCTTAATTCATTGTCAAAGATACTACGCCAGCTGCTGGCTTTCCGTGATAGGAAATCCGCAGTGATCATCTGATGTGCCCCAAGAAAACTAAATACGGTCATTACCGTACCGTACAGCGATTCCAGAGTCGCATGGTAACTGTACAGTAGTTTTAACCTTCTGCCCGCCCCTTCCCAGACACCGATCGTCAAGCTTAATCTACTGAGATTCGAATAAACAAAGGGGTTTTTCTGATAGGCGGTGGGAAGAAGCCAAGGCGTAGAAATAGAAATAAAAAGAAAACAAAGGGAGCACTAAACTTACGAGGACAGCCCTGAGCTACACCGTGCACGACCGCACTTCCCAGTTTGTCGCCTGGCAGATGGAGTGGACTCCCCATTTCCAACCGGTTTCGCATCAGCGAAACGAGGTCCAAGCACTCGGAAATTCAACCACCCAATGACGATGAGTAGAGACAGTGGAATCGTACTGGAGCCAGGAGGGTCGAGTGATACTTTGTCGAGCCGGTTGATGACGACCACATGGAGGCAGCAGCTTCAACTACTGAACCGTGCCAACATCGACTTCTGCTGTCTGCATTTTTGAATGCGAAAGGAATAGTCTGTCCAGGCAACAAAGATGAGCAGAGTAACTCCTAGGAACCACCTGATACGGCTCCTTGAGTTTTGGCAGTTTAAAGTAAAAAGGATGAAATCTCTTCTGCAGTGGTCGGATGTCCGTGCCTTGTGCACAGAAGATCTGGCCCACTTCCCCAGATTGTCCGAAGGAATGAAAGGTTTCATTTCATTTTTCATTTTTCCTCTTTTGTTACTTCTCCCCGGTCCCAAGCTTGAGTTGAACGAACCTATGTAATACAGAAGAGAAGAATCATCCACACCATCACACAAAACGTAAGACCAGAGGTGTAAGGTAAAAAGCTCTGACAAGGACGCGACTGGTCACAATGCTTCCAGACGCAGGGAGCTTCATTCCTCAAGAGGAAAGTGGCCTGCGGTGTCGCTGCCTGGGCTTCGGCCCATCTCCGCACTGGGGTGAGTGACAAGACTGTGCTGGTCAGTAGCGTGGGGTGTGGCGTCCACCTGAGCCGGAGAAGTGTCTATCCTGGTATGCAAGTAATACATACATAAGACCAGACGGGGCAATCATCGTCGTAAGATGGGCTTTGTCCGGGTTAGTGGCATTTGTTAGTCGAGACTTTTCAGTATCAAGTTAGCACTGACAATTTTAGGTAGCTTGGTACGTACCAGCGGACAGTGTGCAGCAGCAGGTGGAGGAGGTGGAGGAGGAGGTGGTGGTGGTGGTGAGGTATGTATGTATCGTAACAATACGGACGGATGTCCCGGAAAACCCTATATCGATCATCCACTATAACCACTAGGTTCTCATGTGTAGATGTATCCTATGCTCGCTATTGTCTTGAGATACGGTAGTACACAGCTCGATTGAGTTGTATTGAATTGAAGCAACTTCTCTTCGTGATTAGGGAAGTTTGGATGATTATGCAGGTCGTCTTGATCCTCTCATGGTCGGCTTCCTAACCATTTAATCCACCGTCGACTGAAAACCAGTCAACTCCACCTGAATCCCAATCCAGCCCGTCAAATATGTACGAGCCTCAACTTGTTACTGATTATGTACTTCAAAGGCATACCCCTGGAGTTCATCCATGCCAGTTCGGACTGGCTTGGAATTATGCGTCCATCAAGTGAGAGCAACTCACTTCCCAAGAGGGTAATCAGGATCATCCGCCGTCGTCACCAATGTGATTATTTAGGTTAAGTGGGAATTTCGAGCAGTTGGTTCAATGGGCATAATTGCTTTTTTGGCTGTCTCCATTTCAATGAACTCTGATTTGCTTTGAGCATGATTTGATCCGACTTACTGAATTTTCGTTTTCCCATTCTGATTTTCTTTTAGGCTTTCTCTGCCTCGCTTGGACCAACAAATCAGTAGTGAAAATCCAACAAGCTTGGCATTTTTTCTCCCCGCATGGTCAGAGTTTAATGAAGTGCGTGGTAGGAAAATAGAAATAGAAAATAAATAATAATAAAAATTTCGTAAGTAGTAGAAAAGGAAAAAGAAAATACAGAAAACGAGATCATGGATGAATCAATCATTCTTAATTTTCAAGACTAATTTCCTATTCTCTCCAATAAGGCCGCAGCATTTCTACAACTTCCTCCTTGGTAATTAGTGTGGAAGTTCAATTTTCTTTTCCCTAGCTCGATAATACCTATTAATACTTCCTTACTACTCAAGGACTCCAATTGATGATCAGAAAAGAAAGTTTGCCTAGTTTGGGTGCCCTGCCTATGAGGGTCCACCAGCATGCTAACCACCAAAGCACAGAGGATTGACATACTCCATACTCTACGGAGTACATGTAATCCATCTGACCCTCTCATTCTTGCCTCCAGATCCAGTGCAACGGACTCCAAATTTTATTTAGAGACTAACTCAAAAAAATAAAAATGAGGGCAAAAAATATTATTACTCCTCTTTATGTATCTACCTATATAACTTTTTATTTTTTTTTTTTGAAATACCTAATTAATATTTATTTCACTCGGGATGTTTCGTAACTACGGACCTACAGACGTAGAGAGCTAGTTCACTACTAACTACTCTTATTAAAACCCCCATTCCCATTTCCCAATTTCCCCTCCTCTCTCCACTTGCTAAATAAAATCCCTCTCCAAGCCAACCAAACGAGACGAAACGAGCAAACAACCCCATTTACCACATCCTCCGATACATGCATATAATCCACTCCGACTACTACTCAAGAGTCCCCATACGAAGATCGACCCATCCCATCAACCATTCCCACTCTGATCCACTGCAGCCTATACTTTGACTACACCTGCGAAACTAACTAAACTTACCAGACCAACCTTCTCGTTGACCACCAGTAAATCACAGCCAAGTCTAGTTTACTCCCCGCTCAGGGACCTCATCATCAACACTTCCAGTCTTGCCCCCCCTCTCTCCTGTGAAATAATTAAAATCACCTCTTGAACCCAGTCACAGTCAGATTCTGTACTGGAAATTTTGTTGCTGCCCCTCTTCTCTGTTCCTCTTCCTTCATCCTGACTAACAACTTCAACCACTCGTGGTGACAACTCTTTCTCCATCACATCCTTTTATTTCCTGCACAACCCGTTTGAGAAAGGGGGGAAAGGAAAAAAAAAAAATAAATAAATAAAAAAAAGAAAAGGAAAAGAAAAACTTTTTTCAACACCTCGAATACCGAGGTGAATGTATGGTCAATGTTGTCCATGCAAAAAAGTTCTGCTTTTGTGTTTACTCCGACGGAACTTGACAGCAACCACCGTCATCAAAGCAACTCCACCCGCTCGGGCAGTTTTTCGGAAAACCCCGCTCTCGCCGACTGCCCCTTCATAGATGACTCTTCGGTCTCCCATCGTGCCAGTATTAGTACCGATGGCCTTTCTAATGAGTCTCTCGAATCCTGGGACGGCGACGGTCCGTCTGCCAACTCACCTCTTCCGGAACTGGAGGTGAAGATCCACGACGTGTCCCAGACGCTCCACTCGAGTTTCCCTCCCACAACAACCGCAACATTCACTTTCAACATGGTTACATCCCACGAGTCTGATATCTCCATGGACGATGTGACCCCCAAAATCGAAGAGTTGGACGATGCAGATGAGTTGCAGAGTATAAAACCTTTGGCGGTGGATCCGATGGCCAATGCGAACTCGGAGGTCACGGCTACTCCCGTCAATGTTCCACGGAAACGTGGGCGACCTCGCAAACATCCTCTCCCGATTCCTGGAGGTCAACTCAAAATCACTAAAGGTCGTTCCAAGACAGGCTGCATAACCTGTCGGAGACGCAAGAAGAAATGCGACGAAACCAAGCCATCGTAAATTCCCTCCCCTCCCCGGTCTTCTCACAAAGGACCTTTAGATTGTGACGAGCGCGAAAATTGACTAACTATTCTTTGCCCCCTTTCAGTTGTTTGAACTGTCAAAAGAATGCAGTTGTCTGTGAAGGATATCCTAAGAAGGAGGTATGGAAGAGTGGAAAACAGAAACTAGAAGACGGTGAGTTCGATTTTTACCCAGTCTTTCCACTTGTCCTGTATCTGGTCTCCTTGTTCGTTTATGGACATCCATTCTAATCCGTGTTTTTTCCCACCTAGCAGCCCGGGCCCAGTCTATGGTCTCTCGCTCCCTTCCCTTTTTGATTGACGGAATTGAAGACGATACCGATCGACGCTTTTTGGACCACTTTGTCTACGGATTCAGTCGCGTTCTGACATTGATCAATGATGACTCGAACCCCTTTAAGGAGATCCTCCTTCCCATGGCTACCCAACACCGGGGCCTAATGCATTCGCTTATGTGCCTATCCGGCTCACACTTATCGGGACTTAAGCCAGAGCCGAAGTTTATAGCCCGCAAATACCACCATTTCCATTGCGCGATCCAAGATTTGCAGCACAACCTTCTTATAAAAGCGTCATCAAAACCGAGCAATCCGGGAGAGGATCCCGACCTTCTAGTTGAGGATCCGATAATCGCGTCGACAATAGCGCTCAGTTTGAACACGATATGTGAAGGTGAAACTAAGGGGGAGTACCGGATGCATATGGATGCCGCAAAGCACCTTCTGAAACACCAGAAACCGAGGAACGAGAAATTCCGGCAGTTCATAGTTGAGTTCTTTCAATACCACGATGTTTCCAACTCGGTCACCTCACTGGACCGACGGCCGGCCCATCTAAATGGCGACCTTCGACTACCCGACTTTGTGCCACACGCACAGGCGGGGATGTTTCTAGGGGTATTCGATGGGCTCTTTAATTACATCTCCGAAGTGACCAGATTACGAGACAAGATCAGGCAGCGACACAATGAAGGATATGAGCCAGCGGTTGACTACCAGATCCTAAGTGAGGCCGTCTCCATTGACTCTGCTATCCGGCTTTGGGAAACGTCATATCCGCCCAACACTGCAAACTGGTCTCTGGCACAGCTTTATCGACAGTCAACCTGGGTGTACCTTTATCGTACTATTCGCCCTTCGCAACCAGGTGATAAGATAGGTCAAGTGGTGGATGATGGCCTGACATACTTGGATCAGCTTCCAGAGGACGCTGGCGCTTATAGCATTGTCCTGATGCCTTTGTTCCTCCTCGGATGCTCTGCGTTCTTGCAGCACCAGCGGGAGCGAATCCAGAAAGGATTCGAAACCCTCAAATCCTACTCCAACCTTCGCAACATCGAACCTGCATTCAAAGTCGTAGAAAAGGTGTGGGAAGTCATGGACTCCCACATTGAGGAAAGTTGGGATTGGGAGAAAATCATCAAAGATATGGATATGGATTTTCTCATTACCTGAGTCAACCTTCGCATTTCTCATCTGCATTACTGCATATTGACAGCGTATATCTTCTATCTGAATCGACAGTTTTGGAACGGGTATCTCCGTTTCTTCGTTTTGCACTGCTCATTATCCATCGAGGAAGTGAGCACACGGCGTTATGTGGCCCATGCATGCATTTTCTTTTGGTGTTATTTTTCTTCTTTCTTTTGGCGATAGGGATGGTCGGGGCCATGGGGGGACCCGGTGTCAAAAAATCAGGATGGGAGCACGAATCCGTGTTTCTCTACGGCTACGGGAGAGGGAAATGGCGTCAGTACATGATTAATGGCACACACAGACATGGACTACAGTATATTGTGTCTCAGATCTTTATTGGTGGGGTGTCTAAGGGGGATTGCCGGATGACTTTCAGCTTCTATTTTTCGCCTGTATTCTATATATCCAATTGTGTCGATGAGCTCTTTGTGGTTTGAGTGACTTTTATGATCTCTTCCTTTCTTTGTATAATGATTGTTGCTATGAGTGGATATCTTTATTCAATTTTTGATATCAAGCGTCAACTGTATCCATACTTTAGCCTATCAGTGAGTAATGATTTTGATATTCGTACAGATATCTTATTTATGAGGCAAAAATTTGAAAAAGTCTACAAATTAGGAGACTATTGAACAGAGCTTACAGTGTTTCAAACTTCCGCTATTGTCTCCAGGGATCATATATCTCAAATTGTATCAGCTGTTTCTCTACGGGGATGTGTCTGTGTATAGCTCTATGTCTAGGAAGAGCTATTAGTTTTCTCCTTTAGCTTCCATTTCAACTCTAATTTCATGTAGAAATTCAACTATCTCCGGTCTACATCCAGGATTATTGGAACTCGTTCTCAATACACAATAAATACTCTCTTTTCCCAAGCACGAAGCCCTTCTCTTTACTTGGGACTCTTTTGCACCTTATCACTTTGGTGTAGTACACATGTTCTCCATTCAATAAGAAACATGATGTCGTTATCAGACTAAGGCCATCACTCAAAACCTATCTATACTGCTTGTGGACAAACTATCGCGCCCGACGTAAGCTTTCCTCAACTGTGACATCAGTGCGGGAAGGGGACTGTCAGGGGTAATCTCATGTCGGTGCTTCTACAGTCCATACAATACTATAGCGCTCCATTCAAAAACTTATATTGTCTGGGGCTAAGATGGATAGCCCGAGTCAGATGCAACCGTTCTCTTTCTCCTTTGCGCAGTCGTTATCAGCGAACAGATTATTATACTGGTAGTCAGATGAGTCCGTTCCAACCGTGGGGTATCGATTTGGGGTCGGGTTCGACGGTACTGATGTGGCTGATTATAAGGGCTCGTCAGCTGGGGCCATCCTATGTTCTAGATTTGTTGCTTTGCTCCCGGTTTGAAAGGACATACTACCGGTGTATTGCGTCCAACATAAAAATAATATTCCAAATCTATCAAGGAGGAAGTTAGAAAGAGGTATGTGTGTATTCCTTAAAACTATCGTTCGTGTTCAACGATATGTATTGAGTCAAACATCAAATTCGAAAAGAGTCAAACAATACGAATAACGTAGGAAGGCGCCATGACTGCCACACAAACCATGCCAATGATACTAGATGGACTTAGAAAGAGACTTTCTACTCTGAGCAAATTGCCTGATGCAACAATACCATGGTGAGACTCTTGAAATAATGATATCTGGTAAGGTGTATTAGGAAACATATAGAAGCATTCGAAAAGTTAATGGTGGGCCTGTTGTAGCCGAGAGAGTAATCTAGAGCTTAACTTGTTATGATTTTACTATAGTAAAATACAAGGATGACATCGCTTTCCCCCAAAGAGTCAAAGTAGGAAGTACTCATCCCAGATGTTGTGACCTTACACTAACCCTAAGAATTGATGGTCACATCATGATAGAGTTCGATTAGTACTATATAAAAGCAAATAAGAGCAAATTGTGAAACCACCCCCAAAGGTACTATTGCTATCATCAGCATAGTGTGAAGAGATTACTTAAGAGCTCCTTAGTATTTACTATATAACATCAGAGCAATATTTTAGCTAGTAGCCAGCAATAGTCAATAGTCAGAATACAGTTCGTATCCCTTGATGCCATTACACCCGAGGGCACATGATTAGGATGATGCCTCTTGCAAAACCACTAGGCAAATTCCATATGGTTCTCTTCTGTTCATACAAAAGTAAAGGATGCAGTAATAGCTTCTATTTCCGTACCTATACAACACATATCACCCCGCACAGCTGGCTTATCGCATTATCATTTTCCGGCAGAGACGGTGAAGAGAGAGCCAAGGTTCCCCACTGGCCTTATAACAAACAAGTCCTGTCATTACCGAAGTGACTAGGGCTGAACATCATCCTAGGCAATAATTCCAACTAGTCTCTTTGGGGTTTATGCTCCTTTAGCGCTGATACGATTAACCAACGACGATGGCCAGCTCCCCAGACCGTTGGTCTTGGCCCCGCCCGCCCGGTTACAATAGGACTTCTAGCTTGATTACCTCTTATAATTCTCTTGAGGGCCTGGCCCCTTTTCTCTTTTACCTTCCTATTTTAATTTTTTGTGGACGCCCAAAGGGTTTGTATGCCTGAGAACGGTGGGATTGGTCTGATGTGTATAGACGAATTGTTACTATGACTGCCGACGACATTTGCCCACTAGATGACCCTAAACATGGCGTCAATGTTGAAAGTTTACAAGACCTATCGGCCGCTTTCAACTTATCCTTTCGCGAAGTCCAGCCAGTTGACATACACGTGAAGGACCTTTCTCTGGAAGTTGATATCTCCCCGCCGATATGGGAAACTGCCCCGTCACAGATATGGCGCCGTCTACGCGGAAAGACGACGACCGAAGCGCGTAAAACCGTTCTGGATGGGATCGATGCTTACATGCCGAGTGGCAGTTTGACGGCGATTATTGGTAGTAGCGGATCTGGAAAGACATCACTACTCAACCTTTTGGCAGGCAGGATGGGCATGAGCAAGGCCACTGTCGCAGGGACCACGACCTTCAATGGCGAAGCCAACATTGAGAGCGTTCGCAGTGCCTACGTTATGCAGGAAGATGTTCTTATTCCTACACTGACGGTCCGAGAGACTCTGCGGTACTCGGCTGACCTAAGGCTTCCGCCGCCCACCACGCAGGAGGAGCGCCATCAAATTGTGGAACAGGTCATTATGGAGTTAGGCTTGAAAGAATGCGCCGATACGCGAATAGGCACTAATGTCCACAAGGGCTGCAGTGGGGGTGAGAAGAGACGCACGAGTATTGGGGTACAGATGTTGGCAAACCCGTCTGTACTCTTCTGCGATGAACCGACTACTGGCCTTGACGCGACAAGTGCCTTTCAGATTGTCCGGACGCTGAAACGGCTCGCCCAAAAAGGGAGAACAGTCATCGTCTCGATCCACGCCCCTCGCTCGGAGATTTGGAGTCTGTTTGATAATGTCGTTCTCCTCGCGCGGGGGTCGGTCCTCTATAGTGGACCGTCAAGCAGGTCTTTGACCTACTTCGAAAGTCATGGCCACGTGCTTCCTCCTTTCGTCAATCCAGCGGAGTTTCTCATCGACCTTGCAGCTATTGACAACCGCACAGAGGAATCGGAAGCAACGTCCCTCGCGAGAGTTGAATCTCTCAAATCCTCGTGGAGAACTGAAATGAAGACCGACAAAGAAGTGTTGAAACTCCGGAACGATGATGAGAAGCATAAGGGGTCAACTACGCAGGCACAAGACATACCGATGGCGAGAGCTGTATCATTCAATCGGCAGTTCCGTGTGCTCACCTCCCGTACATTCAAGACAACAATTCGTGATCCCATGGGTCTCGCGGGTAGTCTCCTTGAGGCTGTCGGCATGGGTGTCATCAGCGGTTGGATCTTCTTGCAGTTGGATGAGAGCCAGGCCGGGATTCGTTCCCGACAAGGAAGCCTTTATACCTCAAGCAGTCTGAATGGATATCTGATTCTCCTTTATGAGACATACCGACTAACGATCGACATACGGCAGTTCGACAGGGAGAGAACGGAAGGCGTCGTGGGGGTTCCGGCATTCTTATTGAGTAGACGAGCAGCGAGACTACCTTTAGAAGATCTACCTGTTCCGATTATCTTCGCTATCATTTTCTATTTCATGGTGGGGTACCGCCTGAGTGTGGGCCAATTCTTTATTTTTTTGGCCGTCACGATCCTCACTCATTACATTGCCATCACTTTTGCAGCTGTCTCCATCGGCATCGCCAGGAGCTTCCCCGGGGCTAGTCTTGTAGGAAACCTCTCGTTTACAGTGCAATCGTTCGCGTGCGGCTACTTCGTGCAGTCGAATCAGATTCCGGTCTATGTGCGTTGGATAAAGTGGGCGGCGTATACCTTCTATATCTTTGGGGCGCTATGTGCCAATGAGTTTATTGGCCCTAACGGGCCGCCGGAAGGCCAGTTCTACGATTGTCCCTACTCTGACGATCCCAATGACCCTGCGTGCACGCAATACACGGGTCGGTATATCATGGAGAGCCTGGGATTCCCTCCTAATTGGATATGGCGGCCGATCGTAGTATTAGTGGCGTTTGTTGTTGGCCACTACCTCCTGGCTGGGATTCTTCTACAGTACAACCACTTTGCAATGGATATGGCACAAGCACGGAAGACCGATAAAGATATGAGTACTGGGGCAGAGAAAATGGCCGTCCGACCAGCCGAGGAAGCGCGCAGAGTAGTCATATCCCTAGACAAGTATGCTCTTGACATACGAAAACGGGGCCTTTTCGGACGAGGATCACGAACATTGTCCATCCTCAAGCCCATCACCGCAGAATTCCGGCCAGGTAATCTGAATGTGATTATGGGCCCCTCGGGCAGCGGGAAGACGTCGCTCCTCAATTCTGTTGCGCGACGACTACATGGTTCCTTGAGCACACAGTACCGGGTCCATGGCAATATGCTATACAATGGGGCTGTTCCCTCCGAAAGCGTCATCCGGTCTGTCACGTCGTTCGTGACCCAAGATGACGATGCATTGATGCCGTCACTAACAGTGCGTGAGAGTCTTCGCTTCGCGGCGGGACTACGATTGCCCCTCTGGATGTCACGAGAGGAGAAGAACCGCCGGGCGGAAGAGGTTCTGCTCAAGATGGGGTTGAAAGAGTGTGCCGACAATCTGATTGGGAGCGAACTCATCAAAGGAATCAGCGGCGGAGAGAAAAGGCGCGTCACCATCGCCATTCAGATCCTGACCGATCCGAAAGTGTTACTGCTCGACGAGCCCACTTCAGGCCTGGATGCTTTTACGGCCATGTCTATCATTGAGGTTCTCAAGGGACTCGCTGAAGAGGGGCGCACCCTAGTCATGACTATCCACCAGGCCCGGTCGGATTTGTTCCAGCATTTCTCCAGTGTCCTGCTTCTTGCGCGAGGGGGCTATCCGGTGTATGCGGGCGAGGGCTCAACGATGCTGTCCCACTTTGGGGCATTGGGATACCACTGTCCGCAGACAACTAACCCGGCCGACTTCGTGCTAGACTTGATTACGGTGGACCTACAACAAGTAGACCGAGAAGCGGTGACCCGCGAAAGGGTCCAGAAGCTCATTCTCAGCTGGGATCACAAGACGTTCGATCTCGGACGGCGAACATCTCACATCGCTACACCCGCTGAACTGGGCAGCCTGAAGCGACAGATGCTCCCATTTCGGATCACGTACCCCTTGGTGCTGCACCGGTCAGCGATCAATTTCTGGCGACAGCCACCGCTCGTCATGGCACGGTCAATGCAGGTAGTGGGAATTGGAATTATCATGGCCCTGTTCTTTGCGCCCTTAAAGAACGATTACGCCGCGGTGCAATCACGGATGGGCTTCATCCAGGAGTTTGGCGCCTTGTACTTTGTGGGTGCGTTGGGACCCCCTTACCTACGCTTTTAGTTAAATTTGCATGTATAGACTAACAAAAAACCGGGCAGGAATGCTTCAAAACATCGCCATCTACCCCAACGAACGCGATGTGTTCTACCGCGAGGAGGCCGACCATTGTTACTCGGCTGAGACATTCATTCTGCAGTACACCACGCTGGAGGTGCCCTTCGAGGTGGTGTCATCCCTCATCTTCGGCATCCTGTGCGCATACGCGGATAACCTCGGGCGCAGTGCCACGATATTCCTTATTAGTGCGTACAACTGTTTCTGCATCGTCAGCTGCGGTGAGTCGCTGGGCATCATGTTCTGCACGCTCTTCTCGCACGTTGGTTTCGTCGTCAACGTGACGTCAATCTTGCTCTCCATCGCGAACATCTTAGGCGGTGTTATGAGCTTGAACGTCAACAAGGTTCTCCAGGGGCTTAACCACCTCTCGCCCGTCAAATATGCCGTCGCCAACCTGGCACCCTATGCTATGCGGGACCAGGAGTTCGTGTGTACGGCGGCCCAGCGATTAGCGGATGGAAGTTGTCCAATCCAGAATGGACAGCAGGTGCTCCAACTCTACAACCTCGACAAGAACGGGGCGATGAATGTGATGGCCTTAGGTGTTTGCACGATAATTTATCGGGTGGTTGCGTACGCGCTGGTGAAGGTGATGCGGTGGGAAAGGAAGTAATAGTTACATACGTACTTAGGAGATAAATATGATATCATCCGTCCAATAAAAATGAATCCGCGGAAGTAATCGGTCGACGTCCGAACGATGGATCTCCGTATGTGTGGAGCGAATGAGAAGACAACGAGATTACGGCACTTGCTCGGACTTCTGTCTGTCGAGGGAGAAGGGAAAAAAAAAAAATAAAATAA